GATGGTTCTGGAGATGGAAATAAGAAATCAGTGAGTGAGGGAAGCAATAAGAAGTCGGGCTCTGGGAATTCTGGGAAAGGTGGAAACCAGCTGCGCTGTCCTAAATGTGGTGACTTGTGCACGCATGTAGAGACCTTCGTGTCATCCACCCGTTTTGTCAAGTGTGAAAAATGTCATCATTTTTTTGTTGTGCTATCTGAAGCAGACTCAAAGAAAAGCATAATTAAAGAACCTGAATCAGCAGCTGAAGCTGTAAAATTGGCATTCCAACAGAAACCACCTCCACCCCCTAAGAAGATTTACAACTACCTCGACAAGTATGTTGTTGGCCAGTCATTTGCTAAGAAGGTGCTTTCAGTTGCTGTGTACAATCATTATAAGAGAATATATAATAATATCCCAGCTAATTTGAGACAGCAAGCAGAAGTTGAGAAGCAGATATCATTAACACCTAGAGAGTTAGAAATAAGAAGACGGGAGGATGAGTACAGATTTACAAAATTGCTTCAGATTGCTGGAATTAGCCCACATGGTAATGCTTTGGGAGCATCAATGCAGCAACAGGTAAATCAACAGATACCTCAGGAAAAACGAGGAGGTGAAGTATTGGATTCTTCTCATGATGACATAAAACTTGAAAAAAGTAATATTTTGCTGCTTGGACCAACTGGGTCAGGTAAAACCCTGCTGGCACAGACTTTAGCTAAATGCCTTGATGTCCCTTTTGCTATCTGTGACTGTACAACTTTGACTCAGGCTGGATACGTAGGTGAAGATATTGAGTCTGTGATTGCCAAACTGCTCCAAGATGCCAATTATAATGTAGAAAAGGCACAACAAGGAATTGTCTTTCTGGATGAAGTAGATAAGATTGGCAGTGTGCCAGGCATTCATCAGTTACGGGATGTAGGTGGAGAAGGCGTTTAGCAAGGTTTATTAAAACTACTAGAAGGCACAATAGTCAATGTTCCAGAAAAGAATTCCCGAAAGCTACGTGGAGAAACAGTACAAGTTGACACAACAAA